CACGGCTTTGATACGGCCACTAGTGCAGGTATAGAGATGACTGTGAAAATACAGTTTCAGTCCGGCGCAAGCAAGAGGGGAAAAAAACAAAACATGAAGAAACTAGAGCATCACTCGAAGGTGGGTTATTGTATGAGTCAAATGTACAACTTGCGAATGTTGTATAAGTCAAATTGCCAATTGCCATATTAAAACATCAGCTGCAATTCACGACATGAAGAAGGCAGTCTCTGCATAGCATGTAGGCTAATGGAGATGCAGTTATTTCCAGCATTCTTTATTTAACATTCATTCAAGTAGGCCTATATGTTATGCCTTTTATCTCCCTATAATGTACAAGAGGAAGAGTGATAAACTGTCTGTCTAGTTGGCTTCCATATCAGTTAAAGTTTACAGCCTAAAAAACATGGAGCATTTTTCCCATTTTCATTTTTATGTCAATTTGCACATTTCATGGTGATGCTCAGCCTCTCCCCTTAACTCCTAACAGTCATCATCATGTCAATCACAACACAGAGAAATACTGATAGAAATGTGTGTGTAGTTGTTGATACATTGCTGACAGAGGGAACTACATTTGAATACAGATTTAAGAAATATCAGTTTTTGAGCATGTAATAAGCATGTTTTGTCTTGACTATATTACAACTATATTATAATAAAATAATATAGTGTTTATATTATTGAATTGATTATTAATTGATTATGATTATTAGTAGAAGTAGTTTATTTGCATTAATTATATTTTAATGTTTTTGAGGCTAGTATTTGGCAAATGCAGACATATTCATCTGTAAACGCATACTGAACGACATACGTAACTGTAACTGTGTTGATAATAATAATAAATAGGAATTATATTTGCAAAGTACTTTGTTTCCCAAACATTTATTTTCACTCCTGTCGGTGGGGGGGGGGCCTCATCTCACAATGTCGCTTGGGGCCCCAAGTTGGCCAGGGACGGCCCTGCCTACATTGAAAGCATTTTATAACAAGCCCTTGACAATAAGAAGACAACATAGGCAGTTACGATTTCCTTACACTGATATTGTCCGTAGTGAAAGTGTATCAATCATGACCAAATTCTTAATCCAAAAATTACCTTTATTAGCTTCTGCGGCTTGTTGTCGCAGAGCTGAAGTCCAACCAAAATTCCTGGAAAAAAACCAACATATTAAGTAAAAGAAGTTACACTTTGTGCATGTTATCTTTACTTTTAATATCCCCTGATCAGTTTTCATGCACATTTTACGCAGCGCACTCAATCTAAATACGGATATTGTACATATGTGTTGTCCCTTGTCATTTTGTACTTTTTTTATAATTGTATTCTGTTTTTGACTTTTGCAGCAATTAACCTGTATTCTATTTCCTCTTGATATATTTACTGTATGCAAACATTTGGTTCAGGGGCATAGAGGGTAAATTCACTAATCGGCAGATCACCGGTTCGATCTCCGCATCCCCCAGTGACACTTGTGCAAAACACTTAACACCAAATTGCTCCCCATAGGTGTATAAATATGTGTTTGAATGGAAACATTTTGGCATGTTGCGCTTTGATGTGGCTAAAGAAAGCGTTATACAAATACAAATTCAGTTCATTAAGACGTGACCTCCTGTCAAATTATGCTAGCTGCAGCTGTAGTGGTACAATGACCGCAATTAATATAGACTAAAGTCGACTGATCTAGATTCTGCTTCAAAACAAACATGTCTTACCTGTGACTCCATAGCTGTTCGAAATTATTAAGCAAAACCCGACTGTTTCTTTGGATATAATGCCCTACGTGCCTACCGGGCGCCGCCATGTTGTTACTAACTGAAGGCTTCTGGGAGGGAGAAACCATGTGGGCTCTGAAAAGGGGAGAGCACAATAATAACACATTGTATTTTAAATAAATACTACTCTTAATTCATACGTGTCCTCGAGCAAGCTACAATTTTAACATAGAGTAATATATTCCAATAGCACCATATCCCCTAGCTTTATTAAAAGTCTATTTATCTGTTCTTGTCTCCCCCCTCAAATGTTACGTTAGGTCCCACGATCCCTCCACGTGCAGACCAGGAGCAATTGAGTGTCGCATGTGGTTCAACTGTACGCCATGAATTTATATCAATAAAACTTTAGCTTAATTCTCCGAAAATGTTGTTTAGTAAAGAAGTGCCATGGCGGCATCTGAAAGGACTGTCGTTTGGCATGTACTCAGCTGAAGAGATAAGGTGAGAAAAGACATGTTGCTAGCTTTAGGACTTAATGCTAAACATGAGCTGAAAACAACATGCCTGCTCATCGCAGCATGCTATAACGTCATGTTGTAGTCGTTTCCTCGCATATTGCACACATATTTAAGCTCAGTTGCTATGTCAATGTTCATAATATATATTTTGTATTTTTTTTTTTTACGTCAATTCATTTTTTTCTGTTAAATTGGTTAGTCTTCTGTTTTTATTATACATATCTTGCTGTGTTTAATTAATAAGTGACATACCTTGCATGTCCTCCTATCTGAAACATGCTAATTTATTATTTATTTGTTTATATCAAATGTTCGCTTATTATTTTTCGTTAAACTCTTCATTACTTTTCTTTATAGTACAAAAAAACATGTATAATTTATATTTTTTGATTTCCTTCATGTTATTCTCGCTCTTTAACTAACTTATTTTGGGTAATATGCATTAACTCTTTAAGGACCAATTAAGATGACACTAAACCGACTTAATTCAGATTACACCTTATATAGTTATTCCCTGCAGTGGTAGAATAACCAAGAAATGTATATGAATTCAAAATAATTGTGGAGTCGGTTGTTATAATGATGCATCTTTCCCATCTCCTGTCCAGGAAGCTGAGTGTGAAGACGATCACTAACTTCAGGTTCCTGGATGCTGTTGGGAACGTGGCCCCAAACAGCCTGTACGATCTGGCCCTGGGACCAGCAGACAACAAAGAGGTACGCCTCCACTGAAATAATATAACTTGCACACGTGTGTATGATACAGTAATGATGACACATCTGTTAAATGCTGTACATGTATCTGTTGCATATTTTGTGCGCTGTAACTTTCAGCAAGTACTTAAAATAAAAAAGAAATCATGTTTCATTCCGTGTTTTTTACCAGGTGTGTTCAACCTGCTGTCAGGACTTCAACAACTGTCCCGGTCACATGGGGCATGTGGAGCTACCTCTACCTGTTTACAACCCGCTGTTCTTTGATGTAAGCCGATCCACGAATGCACCACAAAACTGTACTACTAACATGTTAACTTCATTACTGTGTGTGATTCTGTCAATGTTAGAAGAGACTTAGGGGTTAAAATCTGATACATTAGTATTAACTTTCTGTCAACGCAAGTTGCTCGAATTTATTATGATTTTCAAATACAGAACAGGCTTTCTGCTCATTTGACTGATCTGATCCAAACTCATGGTTTTGATTTTCATCAGATTATTCAATTGTATTGTTAAGAGCCAAAGTTTTTAGTGGATTCATTTATTAGTTCACTAAACATTTTCATAACCCATGAATTGATCATTTTTGCACTGTTGGTTGAACAACACAATTAAGATCATACCTTTCAGATATGCAATATGTTTGTGTTTATGTATTTTTAAAGATGATCTCCTAAATTATGATTAGTTTCAGGCTAAATCACTTTCTGAATTCACAATCCCTGCTTTTATGATTTTTGTACTAAAATCTTTTGACCAGTAATATAATGTTATGCCATTATTTCACCTCCTTCTCACCTCCTCCATCAGAAACTGTACCTGCTGATCCGTGGCTCGTGTCTCTCATGTAACATGCTGCTGTGCCCCCGCGCCGCCATGCACCTGCTGCTCAGCCAGCTGCGGCTGCTGGACCACGGGAACATGCAGGAGGTGTACCAGGCGGAGCAGGTCCTCAGCCAGGTGGGTCTGAAGCACCTAGGGAATCTAGTGATGGAGATTGGTACGCATGGGGTGGGCAATATGACCAAAAATCGTATCACGGTACAAGTACATTCATATCAAAACGCGATATATAGATTTACATTTAAGAAATAGTTTAAAATAATCATTGCCTACTTTATCGCTAATGGTTTTTATTTTAATTGTATTAACTTCACATGAGACAATGCTTGAGTTAACAAGAAAAGACACAAACCAGTAAAAGCTTACAGAATCACAATTGATTCTTTAAGGCTTCTGAGGAAAAATAATTCCAAGTGTTAACCTCTTAAAGGGCAACTTCCAGGTTAAAGACACCTGTGAATAAATGTGTAGGAAAATGATGAATACACTAGATTTAAAAAAAAATATAAAGAAAGATACACTGCAGTGACATCTGGCGTCGTTTTTGTAAGAAATGTTCACTTCCGCATAAAAAAGCCTCGGCACTTGACCTCTCGCGTGTGACGTAACATGGGGGAAACAAGGGGGAGAGCGGCCGGTGTAACGTATTAATAAACATGGATCCCAATGCTAGTTTCGACAAAGAAGACACAGAAGAAGTTGAACATGAATATTCAAATGCATATGACGGACCACAACCTTATAATTATGAGCCTGCTAGGCGTCCAAGAGACCAGGAGCAGCCAAGGATTAGAAGAAATAACGGCCATCGGAGAGAAATTGAGCTGTGGTGTGAGGAGAACCAGTGGAGAACTGGGCAGCTATCTTGATGAGTGACCGGCGTTAGCTACAGAATGTTAGCTAACGTCACATCACAACATTGTGAAGTTAGCTATCATATATCAGGCTATAACTAAAG